ATGTAGCAAGTGGGCTAATAACACAATAATACACAAAGTAGCAAGTGGGCTAATAGCACAATAATACACAAAGTAGCAAGTGGGCTAATAACACAGTAATAATCAATGTAGCAAGTGGGCTAATAACACAATAATACACAAAGTAGCAAGTGGGCTAATAGCACAATAATACACAAAGTAGCAAGTGGGCTAATAACACAGTAATAATCAATGTAGCAAGTGGGCTAATAACACAATAATACACAAAGTAGCAAGTGAGCTAATAGCACAGTAATGACCAAAGTAGCAAGGGGGCTAACAAGAAAATAATGGCCAGCATAGATAAGTTACTGTTACACATCAGTTGTATCTTGTGTTAATTGTGCTCATCAGTCAATAGGCCTTTGCAAAACGCCTATGATTAAATATGGATCTGCTGTGAAATTGGAATGACATGTTTCGCTTCACATCTCTTTGCTCCCAGACCTATTTTTATGAATTATGAATCCTGCGTACTGACACAGGAAACATTAATGTAAATTATGACCAGTTTAAAGTGTTGTAATTTAATGGAAATACGGGTGATACCTAATAACGTCTATAGTTACTAATGGTCTAACTCCGGGACAGCAAAGCCGTGCCTTGTTAGCTCTGCTGCTGGTTTATCTGATTCACCACCAGCAATGACCATCATCTCAGTGCTCCATGTAATTATCTCCTCTCTCCACTTTTAATTACTCAGTTATTGATGTTTTGTATTATTTTATGTACTGAAATGGTCAAAACATCTGAACGTTTAATGTTTTTCCATCTTATTCAATACAGACAAAAAAAACACATGCTACATATTAAGTCAGAGAAGCACAAACAACCTCATCAATTATACACAAATATTACAGTTTTTATTTGATTTCTAACTATTTCCATGTTTTTTAGTTAATGCGAGAAGTGGGTGGATGAATATTATTGCTGACACACTAAAAGTACGCTAATTACAGCAATTTTTGTCAAAAACCTGCTTATCCTGGTTATATATATTAACATTAACTTTGCAGATCAACCAAGGCGAGCTGCACAGGCATTAGTCTTCACTGCAAGTATATGCTGGCGTCTTCCTTCCACATTAGTGTGTGTGGAGGAAAAATGCAATTAAACATGTTGCCAGTAGGTGGGAGTATCAGAAGGTTTCAGCCTGCTAAGGTGACCAATAAACACTGGAAGAAAACAACAGTAGAAAGATGATTAAAAGGTTTTGAACACATTTAAAAAGGTAAAAGTGTTTCTTTTCCCACTTAGTTCAAAGATTCCATTAATTTAGCTAATATAAAGCTTTTATTAAAATAAACTTTGATTAAAAGAAACTCTAGTGTCTGGAAAAACAAAATTAAGAAGGTGATTGATTTCTGTGGCCTCATGCCGTTCATCACAGCCATGTAACCACGTGTCACTGTATGATTGCCACCACAGAATTCTCCATCAGGGTGGATACACAAAAGAAGAACAATTGGAGTTCAAGTCCATCATCTTCGGCAACATACTGCAGTCTGCCATGGCCATCATCCAGGGCATGTGCCAGCTGGGCATCGACTACGGGACTCCGGCCGCAGCGGTTAGTGCACACTGATGTATAAAAACATCGCTCTGCCCTGCACATTACTTCCCTATCCCATGCCTGTGCCCTGTCCTGCACATTACTCCACTATCCAATGCCTGTGCCCTGTCCTGCACATTACTCCACTATCCCATGCCCATGCTTATCCTGTACATTACTCCCCTACCCCATGCCCATGGTTATCTTGCACATTACTTCCCTATCCCATGCCTGTGCCCTGTCCTGCACATTACTCCACTATCCAATGCCTGTGCCCTGTCCTGCACATTACTCCAC